CGCAGCAGCACCAGAGTCACCAGTGACCTCCACAGGCTCGACCGCGTCTACCTGAGACACACCCGAAGGGGCAGGACCCTGAGGGGGGAGGGGGTCTACCGGGGGGGGACCTGGGACCAGGAAGAGGGGCGGCGGGGGGAGGGCCGGAGTGCGGTATGGGAAGAGCCGGTAGAAGGGAACCGACTCGTCGAACGTGACGTCCTGGGAGGACAGAACACGACGAGAGGTGGGGTGGTAAAACTGCCACCCAGGTGCGTCAGGGGGGAAACCCAGGAAGACGCAAGGAGCAGCACGACGGGACAGCTTGTCCGCAGACAAGTCGCGGACAAACGCCCGAGATCCCCAGACACAGAACGCCGACGCATCGCCAACCTTCCCCGTCCACAGCAAAGCTGGGGAGGTCTCCGGTCTGGAGACCCTGGGCTGAAGGTTGATCTGATGCGCGGCGTACCGAACCGCAAACGGCCACAGAAAATGGGGGGCAGCCGCATGCACCATGGACGTACGGGCGACGTCCATGACAATGCCGATGCGGCGCTCAGCAATCCCATTCTGCTGTGGAGAGTCCGGAAGCGTGAAGGTCTGGCGGATGCCTCGTGCAGGACAGTAGGCTCGCAGAAGGCCGGAGGAGAACTCTCCGCCTCTGTCCGAGTGCAGACGCAGAACAGGAAAGTCCGAGCCGAAGCTCCGCCTGAGCTGGAGACGAGCTGCGCGGATCCAGTCGATCAACACCTCAGTGACCTCACCCTTGCTTTGCAAGGGGAAGACTGTGGTGTAACGCGAGTAGTCGTCAACCACCAGCAGGAAGTAGCGCTCGTGACCCTGTCCACGGACGCGGGCTGGGCCCCACACGTCCATGTGAAGCGTCTGCATCGGGGCCTCCGTCGGAGGAAACGGGGAGGAGTGAGGGGTAGCCCGCAGGCGACCCTCGACACAGGGGACACAGGGAGGGCCAGGCCCCGGAGGAAGGGGAGGGAGGGACCGGGGAACACCAGAGACAAGAAGGCGAGAGGCCATGCCCCGGAGACGAGGCAGGGAGGGGTGACCCATGCGGTGGTGCCACAGGAGGGTCTCGTGGGACAGGAGGCAACACGAGCAGGGGGCAGACTCAGGACCAGACCTGGACGCTGCAGCAAACACCTGACCTGACGCAGCTACCTGACCAGACGCAGGAGGAGGAGACGGAACAGTGAGTGTGTACAGGCTCGACCCCGGCCCACGAGTGAACGTGGTCAAGTGTCGACCCGTGTCCGCGTCCGTTCAGTGGGTGTCCCGTCGGCGCGCAGGGATGAACTGGTCAACCCCTGCATCCTGTAGGTCAGCACCCGCCACCAAGTTCGTAGAGAACGAGGGGAGGTAGAGACCGGACAGGGAGCCAGACGGGACCGCAGGGCACGGAAGGACAGTGGAGTAGCGAGCCAGAACAGGACTCCCAGAGGGGTCCGCCAGGGAGACTGCCACTGGCCGACTAAGCGGCGTGAGTGTGGTGGGGTCTCGAAAGAAGGAGCGAGACGCTCCTGAGTCAAGAGTGAAGGTGAGAGAGGGCGGAGCCGACGCAGTACCTGAGAGAGCAGACTCACCAGCACCTGAGGACACAGACTCACTGGCACCTAGAGCGACAGCCTCACCAGCACCTAGAGCAGCAGCCTCAACAGCACCTAGAGCTGCAGTACCAATGCCCGGGTCGGGCAGGAAACACCGGTAACAGTCACCCTCCTCAATAATCGTCACAACATACATGGCACGAAGAATAGCATCAAAGTCAGGATCAAAGATAGCTACTCCTGCCCTAGACAGCTGGTCCCAGCGAGGGATCTCAGAGGCGTCAGGAAACTGGCGGCGCCAAGCGTCAGTCAGGCGGCCGAAGGAGCGCTGGGTGGAGTGTGGACCACCACACGGCTCACCCGCACGGTCGCCAGTGCGCAGGACGTAGGTGCACGGACCAGTACCCCCACCCCTCTGACGTGCAGCGTACCACTCACGGAGCTGCTGCGGGGAGAGAGTCTCCCGACCACGCTGCTGCTGCTGGCGCTGACCACCACCGGAGCCACTCCTCTGCGACGAGCCACGACCTCCGCCGCCGCCTCCGCCGCCGCCGCCGCCACCACCTCCGCTGTCACCGCCACTCCCACCGTCGCCGCCACCACCGCCGCCCTCGCCTCCACTCCCACCACCACCGCCGCCGCTGCCCCCGCCTCCACTGCCGCCGCTGACACCTCCACTCCCGCCACCACTACCGCTACCACCCCCACCTCCTCCGCTGCCTCTACCGCCGCCTCCACCGCCCCCGCCGCCTCCACCACCGCCCCTGCCCCCCTTGCCCTTGCCAGGGCGACGTCTCCCATTGGGGGCAGACGGCGCACCGACCGACTCAAAACCAACTAGGTCGGCCGTAGCAGCAGAGGCGACAGAGGGCAGGAGGGGGGAGGGGGAACACCCCTCAAAGATGGGGGTGCGCGGGTCACCACGAGAGGCCCCTACAGCGAGAATGCTCTTCTCGGCCGCTAGGAGGGACTTCTCGAGGAGGTCAACAGTGAGAGTGGTGGGGCAGACTGAGAGTAAGTCGTCCCTGACTCCGCGAAGGGAGTCAGGGAGGCGGGTGACAATGTAGTAGAGAGTGATGTACATGGGGGGGGGGGTTCTTGGCGCAGAACTCAGCAGGAAGCGCAGCGCGGTAGCGAGCGTCACTAGTGCGCAGGTGGGTAATGAGGTTGGCGACTGTGGCAAAAGAAGCAAGGTCGGGAAAGAGGTACGGTAGCATGAGGCGGCTCAGTGCAGCAGTGGCAGGGGAGGAGTAGCGTGCAATAACGGCGTCGTACAAGGTCTGAGCACTCTTGTACGACCCAAAGTGTGCACGCTCAGAGGGAGGGAGGTGGCGACGCACAGCAAGACGTGCAGCAGCATCGCGTGTGGCCCACTGTGAGCGAACAGTGGCATCCTCAGTAGCAGCAGGGGCGGGAGAGGCACCAGAAGTGAGATCAAAGAGAGAGAGGGCGTCAGCTATATCGCACTGTAGGAAAAGCAGCAGGTCGTCTACCCACACGTCAAAGTCGATGGCTCTGCCGTCAGCGTCAAAGGTGAGGACACTGGGGGTAGCCATGACAGCAGTAGGGTGAGGGCAGTGCGGAGAGTAAAGCTCAGTGCTCACCAGACAGGGCAGTGCAGGCGGCTCGGGCGTCTCAGGCGGCTCAGCGGCTCGGCTGCTGGGCGGCTCGGGCGGCTCGGCGACTCGGGCGGCTCCGCTGCAGGGGCGGCTCGGCTGCAGGGGCGGCTCGGCTGCTGGGGCGGCTCGGCTGCTGGGGCGGCTCGGCTGCTGGGGCGGCTCGGCTGCTGGGGCGGCTCGGCTGTTGGGGCGGCTCGGCTGCTGGGGCGGCTCAGCTGCTGGGGCGGCGGGGCCGGGAGATGCAGCGGCGGGGCCGGGAGATGCAGCGGCGGGGCCGGGAGATGCAGTGGCGGGGCCGGGAGACGCAGCGGCGGGGCCGTCAGGTGCAGTGGCGGGGCCGGTAGGTGCAGCAGCGGGGCCGGCAGGTGCAGCAGCGGGGCCGTCAAGGGTAGTGGCGGGGCTGGCAGGCGTAGTGGCGGGGCCGTCAGAGGGGACGGCGGGGCCTTCAGGTGCAGCGGCGGGGCCGTGTGAAGCAGCGGCGGGGCCGGGAGAGGGGACGGCGGGGCCGTCGGGTGCAGCGGCGGGGCCGGCAGAGGGGACAGCGGGGCCGTCGGGTGCAGCGGCGGGGCCGGCAGAGGGGACGGCGGGGCCGTCGGGTGCAGCGGCGGGGCCGGCAGAGGGGACGGCGAGGCCGTCAGGTGCAGCGGCGGGGCCGGCAGAGGGGACGGCGGGGCCGTCGGATGTAGCGGCGGGGCAGGCAGAGGGGACGGCGGGGCCGCGTGGGCGGCGCTAGGGGGCCGCGAGGGCGGCGCGACGCAGCAGAGCCGCGAGGGCGGCGCGACGCGGCCGTAAGGCCAGCGCGACGTGGCCCGGGTCGCGCGCGCGAAAAAAAAAAGGTCGCGCGCGCGACTCGCGGGGGTCACAAGGGCAGCGCGAGAGGGACTAGGGGGGAGCGCGCCTCCGGGAGAGGAGGGCGCGCTCCGGGCAGAGAAAATTTCGTTGGTGGGCCCTTAAAAATATGGTCCTTAGGAAGGACCCGCTCTATACCATGTCGAGATTAGAGAGAATGGAAATGCACTATGGAATGAAACAAGGATACAAGTACCAACCCTAATTGGGTTGTACCCCCTATGGTGTACCCCAACAGCAGCCTACAATACATGCATCAGCTAAATATAATCTGACAGTGGGAAAATAATACACCCTTCCGAATGGTATGCCTTATTGTAGAAATAACCTTGAACGCCTTGTCGCAAGGAGTTTAGGGTTGATGCTCTCAAAATCATTTGGCATCCGAAAGGGGTATATATTTTTTGCCCCGGTTGTACGATACAATCAAGTAAAGTCACCATTCAGCGAGCGCCATAATATCAGCATTATATTAAACACGGTTTTCAAAACAGCATGTCACTACATAGTCCGAATTTCGGAAAGTGTGTCAGAATTTCGGAAAGTGTAGAATTTCGGAAAGTGCGTAATAATTTCGTGCTTCAGGACTCGTCAATTCAGTCTGGCGCGAGTGGGAAAACCCAGAATTAGGGTCAAGTTGGACGAGGGTTTCTTCTAGTTACCATTCACAAATGGCTTGCCAGTGTATAGTTACCAAACGCGTGAATCGAGTTACCAAACGCATGAAAGTGCATTGTTATGGTTACCGTACGCGTTATAAAGCCCCATATTTGTTACCATTCGCATATTTTCCCTATGAAAAAACCACTTGCTGTGTTGGATATTTCAGTGTAGCAACTCTGCCCAATCGCGACTCACAGCCATGCATACACACGCAAGTACAGCGACAGACAGAGCGAGCGTGGCGCACTTACAGCAGCTCTTGAAACTCATTATTCCGGGCCTCTCAACCTTAAAAAAAAAAAAGTTTATACCGGGTCGCGCCGACATGCCAGCGGCAGCGACGAGCCGTCCTGGCGAGGCATGGCGGCGGACGGGGCGGGCGGAGGAGCTGGTGGCGGGGCTGGCGGCGGGCGACGCGAAGGTGCGGCTGCGGGCGGTGCGCGACGTGAAGAACGCCGCCATCGGCAGCCGCACGCGCAAGCTCGCCTTCATCCGCCTGCGAGCCGTGCCCAGGTGCACCACCTCTCTTCCCCACGCGCCTCCCTCCTCTTGCGCCTCCCTCCTTCTCGCGCAACTTTTCTCTGCGCACCCCCCTCCTCCGCGCGCCGCGCCGCCCTCTTTCCCGCGCCTCCTTCCCGGCTCCCTCCCTTCCCCAAAACCACGGCTGCGCGCTGCACGCGGCCCTTTCTCCGTACCACCGCCCCACCCCGCGCCCTACTTTTTCTGCGCCCTGCTGCTTCCGCATCTCCGTTCCCACTCCATCCGATTCTGTGAGTGACTGCGGTGGGGAGTGGTTTGAGTGACTGCGGTGGGGAGTGGTTTGAGTGACTGCAGTGGGGAGTGGTTTGAGTGACTGCGGTGGGGAGTGGTTTGAGTGACTGCGGTAGGGAGTGGTTTGAGTGACTGCGGTGGGGAGTGGTTTGAGTGACTGCGGTGGGGAGTGGTTTGAGTGACTGCGGTGGGGAGTGGTTTGAGTGACTGCGGTGGGGAGTGGTTTGAGTGACTGCGGTGGGGGAGTGGTTTGAGTGACTGCGGTGGGGAGTGGTTTGAGTCAGTGCGGTGGGGAGTGGTTTGAGTCAGTGCGGTGGGGAGTGGTTTGAGTCAGTGCGGTGGGGAGTGGTTTGAGTCAGTGCGGTGGGGGTTGGTTTGAGTTAGTGCGGTGGGGAGTGGTTTGAGTCAGTGCGGTGGGGAGTGGTTTGAGTCAGTGCGGTGGGGGGTGGTTTGAGTGACTGCGGTGGGGAGTGGTTTGAGTCAGTGCGGTGGGGAGTGGTTTGAGTCAGTGCGGTGGGGAGTGGTTTGAGTCAGTGCGGTGGGGAGTGGCTTGAGTCAGTGCGGTGGGGGTTGGTTTGAGTCAGTGCGGTGGGGAGTGGTTTGAGTCAGTGCGGTGGGGGGTGGTTTGAGTCAGTGCGGTGGGGAGTCGTTTGAGTCAGTGCGGTGGGGAGTGGTTTGAGTCAGTGCGGTGGGGAGTGGTTTGAGTCAGTGCGGTGGGAAGTGGTTTGAGTCACTGCAGTGGGGAGCGGTTTGAGTCAGTGCAGTGGTGAGTGGTTTGAATCACTGCGGTGGGGAGTGGTTTGAGTCAGTGCGGTGGGGAGTGGTTTGAGTCAGTGCGGTGGAGAGTGGTTTGGGTTTCTTGGCAGTGGTGTGGGTCTCTGGGAAGTGGGTCCCTTCCATGTGGGGCCGCCATGCCTTCCGTCCGTTTTTCCTTGACCCCTTTTCTTAGGGGGGGCTTGCCCTTCGCGCTTGCCTGCCTGCTTGCCTGCCTGCCTGCCTGCCTTCCTACCTGCCTGCCTGCCTGCCTTCCTACCTGCCTGCCTGCCTGCCTTCCTACCTGCCTGCCTGCCTGCCTGCCTTCCTACCTGCCTGCCTGCCTGCCTTCCTACCTGCCTGCCTGCCTGCCTTCCTACCTGCCTGCCTGCCTGCCTTCCTACCTGCCTGCCTGCCTGCCTTCCTACCTGCCTGCCTGCCTGCCTTCCTACCTGCCTGCCTGCCTGCTTTCCTACCTGCCTGCCTGCCTGCCTTCCTACCTGCCTGCCTGCCTGCCTTCCTACCTGCCTGCCTGCCTGCCTTCCTACCTGCCATGCCTGTCTGTCTGCCGTGCGTTGTGCCCTTCAGGCTGGTGGCGATGCTAGAGGGAATGGGGGGGGCGGAGGGGGAAGAGGGGGCGTGGGGCGCGGAGGAGGTGCAGCAGGCGGCGGCGGCGGTGGGCAGTTTGGCGTGCGGGCTGCCGGAGGGCGTGCATGCCGTGCTGGCTGCTGGGGCCGTGCTGCCGCTGCTGCGCTGCTTGCTGCACCCCCATGCCAAGGTGATGCCCGCATGCCAAGGTGATGCCCGCATGCTAAGGTGATGCCCGCATGCTGCCATGCCATGCCATGTCCACATGCCACGGATGGACATGCCATGGGCACCACACCACATGCACGCCCGTGTCTGCCCCACTTGGCACCTCTCTGAACCTCTCTGCACCTCTCTGAACCTCTCTGCACATATTTTTAACACGCAGGTGGTGGAGGCAGCTGCAAGGTCACTGCGTTTGATCTTCCAGTCCACTCATGTGCTGCCACGTGGCAGCACTGCTGCAGGCGATTGGCTTTCCCCTGCCCTCAGCCTGCTGCCGCCCCTACTCGCCTCCCCCAACGAGACAGTCGCAGAGGTGATTGTGCATCTTGTTACTGTGGTAACCAGACTGTGGTAGCCAGACTGTGGTAACCAGATTGTGGTAACCAGACTGGTAACCTAACCAGACTGTGGTAACCAGACTGTGGTAACCAGATCGTGGTAACCAGACTGTGGTAACCAGACTGTGGTAACCAGACTGTGGTAACCAGACTGTGGTAACCAGACTGTGGTAACCAGACTGTGGCAACCAGACTGTGGTAACCAGACTGTGGTAACCAGACTGTGGTAACCAGATTGTGGTAACCAGACTGTGGTAACCAGATTGTGGTAACCAGACTGTGGTAACCAGATTGTGGTAACCAGACTGGTAACCACACTACGAGCATGGAAAGGAATCACCAAGCAATAATGTACACGTGCAGATTCCTCGCCTCGCGCACTGCACTGTAACCACACAGTGTGTTGTCAACCTCGCACCGCATACCACCATGCATATTCCTTCCTCACCTCTCAAGCCTAGGTCTCCTCTGCACTCCCCAGTCTTGCTTTCTCCCCCTCCCTCCCCCTTCCCCCACCCACCCCCCCCTTTCCCTTCTACACCAGGTGGCAGCGTGTGGGGCAGCGAGTGTGGCAGCGAGTGGGGCAGCGAGTTTGGCAGCGAGTGTGGCAGCGAGTTTGGCAGCACACTGTGTGCACTCACCGCAGCAGCAGGCAGCTCTTGGGGCGCCTCAAAAGCACCCCCCTCCCCCTGTCCCCACCCCTCCACCCCCCAACTCCACACACCCCCCCACTAGGTGGCAGCCAGTGTGCCAGCACACTGTGTGCACTCGCCACAGCTGCAGGCAGCTAGCAGCGGCAGGTGGGCTGCTGTCGCTCACACGCCTGCTCTCCTCGTCGCCCCGCTGCACCGATGCTGCTCTGCTCGCCCTCGCAGCAGTTGTCAGGGGCAACCGGCAGCAGGCCGCTGCTCTTGTAGGTGCGTGTGGGCTGGGCTGGGCTGTGCTGTGCTGGGCTGGGCTGGGCTGGGCTGTGCTGCTTGCTGCGTGTGTGCATGGCGGCCCTGCTCCTGCATGCCTGTCTCGCCGTCGGCTCAAACCACCGTCTTCTCACTCCATAATCAGCTGGCTCACTCACACACACTCTTCCCGCTTTTCCTCATCAACCCCTCCCTCTTCCCCCCTCTCCCGCTCTCCTCTCCCTTTCCCTCTCCCTCCCGCAACCCGCCCCTACGCACTCTCTTCCCCACGCGTGCTACAGACATGGGCGGGGGAGCAGCACTGGCGGCGGTGGTGAGTCTGACGCGCCATCCATCGCCCGCCACACGGCTCAACGCGTGCCGCTGCCTGCTGCACGTCGAGGCAGCCCTCTGGCCGCACGGCGGTGCCATCACTGCCGTGCCGCGCTCCTTCCTCCAGCACCCCGCTCCCGCCCTCGCTGCCCTGCCTGCTCCTGCAACCACCGCTGTTCCACCTGCCACCACCGCTACTGCCCCTGTCTGTGCTGCTGGCGCCCCATCCCCTGCCACAGCAGCTGCAGCAGCGGCTGCGAGGGGGAGGGTTGAGCGGGTTGCACGCAGCAGCGGCAGCGGCAGCGCAAGCATTGCCAGTGATGGGAATGGGAGGGCGGGTGGGCGTGGGGGTGGAGTGAAACGGGATGCATGGGGCGGGTTGAAGGCAGGCGGGATGACCAAGGGCGATCGGAGCACGTGGTTGCGACAGCAAGGGCACGAGCAGGCGGCGTGTGGGCGGGAGAGTGAAGAGGGGCGGGCACAGCATGTGGTGTGTGGGGCACTTTTGTCCCCTCGCACAGGGGCCCACGCGCCTGCCACCGCGCCCACACCTGCTACTGCTGCCAGTGGCGAGAAGCTGATGCGTGTGGGGGTGGGCGTGGGCATGGGAGTGGGCGCGGGGGCGGCAGCGGCGGTGGATGTGAACGTGGCGGCGGTGGTGCTGGTGGCGCTCATCAACCTGCTGCCTCTTCCTGACCAGGTCAGCCCCTCTCTGCTCTGCACCTCCGCACTCTGCTCACGCCGCCTCCGTTCCTTGTTGCTCCTCCATACCGTTTACACCTCCTTCCCTTTGACGCGCCTCCATCCACCATTCCTGCCGTTCCCCTGGTACGCTCACCATTTGGAATGCTCTCCAGCTGTCCTTCATTTCTGCAACCTCTCCTTCCCCTCTGCAAACCCCTCCCAATGCCCCCTGCAAGCAAGCCCTCTTCTCTTCCCTGTCTTCCTCCCCCCTCCCCTCTCCCCACCAGGTGGGCGAGCAGGCGCCAAGGCTACTGCAGCAGCTGCTGGGCGGCAGGGAGGACGTGCAGTGGGCGGCCTTCAACGCCCATGCGGCCTCTGAGCTCGTCGCTCTGCTCCGCCCCGCCCCCACCACTGCCTCTTCTCCTTCCCCCATCACCTCCTCTTCCTCGCTTCCCATCCCCTCATCCTGTCCTGCACAAATTCCCACAAGTGGGGTTGCAAACATGACTTGCCTAATCCCTTCCAGCTAAAACGCCGAGCGACGCTCCATCGCTGGGAGTAGCCACTTGCGACGCCGCACCGGTGGTGCCAATGCGTCCGCCGCCATTACCCCCAAATTGGATGGTACAACGATCACGTGTTGTATAAGCACAAGAAACGAAAGTTAGCAGAATGCTGCGGCGAATACCGGGCGTTGTGCGGCACACCTAACTAAGTGGCCAGGCCAGGACAGGCGAAGCACCCGCACACACATGTGAAGTCTGACAGGCATCTCACCTTGGCTCCCATCACTGCAATCTCTGCAGATGGCCACGCGTAGTTGGCGTCGCCCCTTAGGTGCTTGGAGCTCATCACTGCACCGCGTGGGGTGGGATGGGGTGGGGTGGGGTGGGGTGGGAGGTCGAGAGAGGAGGGGCGAGGTGAGAAGCACGGCAAGGTAACATAGTTGGTGTCGCCCCTCGGGTGCTTAGAGGTCCTGACTGCAGGAAAGAGGGAGGTGGTTGACAGGAGCAACGGGAGCAGAAAGGTTGAGATGAAAGGAGAAGAGGCTAGCGATACCCCGCAAGTCCTTGGAGCTCATGCAGTGAGGTCATGCAGTGAGGTCATGCAGTGAGGTCATGCAGTGAGGTCATGCAGTGAGGTCATGCAGTGAGGTCATGCAGTGAGGTCATGCAGTGAGGTCATGCAGTGAGGTCATGCAGTGAGGTCATGCAGTGAGGTCATGCAGTGAGGTCATGCAGTGAGGTCATGCAGTGAGGTCATGCAGTGAGGTCATGCAGTGAGGTCATGCAGTGAGGTCATGCAGTGAGGTCATGCAGTGAGGTCATGCAGTGAGGTCATGCAGTGAGGTCATGCAGTGAGGTCATGCAGTGAGGTCATGCAGTGAGGTCATGCAGTGAGGTCATGCAGTGAGGTCGGGCAGTGAGGTCGGGCAGTGAGGTCGGGCAGTGAGGTCGGGCAGTGAGGTCGGGCAGTGAGGTCGGGCAGTGAGGTCGGGCAGTGAGGTCGGGCAGAAGCATGTATGCATGCAGGCAGCACACCCACCACCTTAAACAGGCACTCAACACCCTCAACGCACCCACCTCTCTCACCGACATACGCTACATTACGCCTGGCGAGTAAAGACAGTGTGCTTTGGACCCGTGATCTCTGCATGTGCAGTAAGGAACAATACCACTGTATAGCCCCATCTCTACACATGGACACCATCGCGCACGCGCGCGCGCGCACACACACACTCACACTCATATGCCCCTCATACGCCTCTTCCTGCTTGTCTCACCGTCGTATGCCCCGCCATATGCCTTGCGAGTGATGACAGTGAGCTTGGGCACCGTGGCCTCCGCATACGCGTACAGCAGCTTCGCCCCCTGCCTGATGATGCCATTGTGCTCCTGCTCCGTGCCTCCACGGGCAGAGACGCACAGCACACACATAATACGCATTTATGTATCAGTAGTGGGTGCAGCAGCTTCGCCCCCTGCCTGATAATTCCGTAGTGCTCTTGGCACACATGACATAAGCATGCATGGACACGCAAGGACGCACATCAACGCACATCAGAGCAATCATGCACATGTATAAATTCGTGCAGCAGCTTTGCCCCCTGTCTGCCTGATGATGCCCCTGTGATTGTGTGACTATTAGCCGGATGTGAGTCTTCAGTCGACTACAAAATCACCTCCGTGCAGGGGCAGGCAGATAAGCGCGAACACACACAGGAACACGTATGTATATGTATATATACTCAAGCACAGTTCCATGTGACGATAGATGGAACCATGGAATGGAAGCATGATACCTGGGAGAAAGCCTGGGACGTCGACGAATGTGAGGATGGGGATGTTGAACGCATCGCAGAAGCGCACGAAGCGAGCTCCCTGCACTCATGCGGTGTCAATAAATTCACACCATGCCATGCCGCAGCAAGCCATGCCATACAACGTTGTAGATACAAGTGTAATGGGTCACATGCCATGTGGTAACATGCCATACAATGTTGTAACATAGCAGTGCCATTGATCACATCGCATGCCATGACATTGCGTGCAGGGCAGAGATTGCGAGTTGAAGCACATGTGTGTTGTCAAAAGGGATGGACGGTATTAACAGTGACATTCCTTTGGTGCTTCACTGTTATGTTCAATGGAATGCAGTGTGCTTCACTGCCCGCAGCCCATGTTGTTCAACCATTCTATGTTGAGCATTGGTCGGGGGAGCCGAGCAAAGGAAGTTGAGGAGTTTGGGAAAGCGGGTTGCTTGGTTTCACCCATGGCCTTACTATTTTCGCACTCTCAGTTCCCTTGCGCTGGCAAATCAGTGACCTTCGCACATCCCAAAACACCAATCACCAAAACCCCTTCTAAAGAAACACACCGTCATATTTGGTAAGCTTGACCCGCACGATCCACGATTTGAGCCGCGGGCCTGCACAGGGCATTTTTTGTACTGTACCCTGGAAAAAATCTGGTTACGTTAGGTTAGGCGAAATCAGACTGGCCACCCCCTCCCTCAACTTTGCGTTCACCACCCCCACCCCCCACCCCCCCACCCCCCACCCCAGCACTCAACCTTGCGCAAGATTAGTAATCTTAATTTGGGCCTCGAGCTTTAACCTTGTGACACCACAGTTAACCTTATAGCACCAAAATTTACCACACCAATTTCCGCCACCTTATGCTGTAACACATCCTAACAGTGCAAGTAACCATGTGACTCACGGTTCACTCACCTTAATGGAGGCGTTGATATCGAGGCAGCCAGCCTGCTCCTTGGGCTGATTCGCCACCACTCCCACCGTTCCCCCGTCCAGCCTCTGATGGCACACAGATCGGGGGAAGATGGAGATGGGGGGGAATTGGGGGGGATTGACCTTTGAGTCGACTCAAAAGGTCTCCGTGGGCTGATTCGCCACCACTCCCACCGTGCCCCGGTTCAGTTTCTGACGGTGCAAAGATGGGGGAAGGGAAATGAGAAGGCGTTGGGGAAACGATGGGTGGAAGGTGGGGGGAAGATGGAGTAAAAATGGGTGAAAGATGTGGAAAGACCGGGCAAGAAGAATGACAAGCTAGCAGGGACCAGTGTTGATGCTGATAATCTATTGCTATCAAGCTTTTAGGATGACTCGTGTAGTGTTCAATCAGAGTAGATTCATCCTCTGCAGATGAGTGGGAGGATCGACCAGGATTGACCAGCATTGACCAGCAATGAACAGCACTGACATGCACTGACCAGCAAGAACATGCTTTGACAAGCAACGACCAGCATTGACAGCGTTGACCTGCATTGACCGACATGCATCGACTAGGATTGACCAGGACTGACTCACCGCGAATCCAATGAGGATGTTGCGCGCAAAGCCGCCCTGCACTTGAAACATCTCGCCATCATCCACCACCTGATGATGCCGAGGACGAGGAGGATGTGGGGGGAGAGGAGTCAAGGGTGGTGAGGGAGAGCGTGGGATTGCATGAAATGAAGTGGGCACTTGGAGACAGCCACCTGCCACCTCAAACATCTCCCCAGCGTCCAGGTGAAGAAGAAGGGACGAGCTAGACAAAGGGATGAGAGAGGGCGGCGAGGGTGTGTGGAGAGGAGTGTGCAACAAGGCACAGCCGCCCTGCACCTAAAAAGAATCTGCCCATCGTCCGCCAGCTGAAGAAGCGAGGCAGAGAGTAAGGGTTATGACGGGGAGGGTGGTGAGGATGGTGGGGGAGAGCGTGGTGTGTGTAGTGAAGTGACAGGGTATCTCCACGGTCCACCATAGCATCCCGTCTCTCTCCCTCTGTTCCACCCATGCCATACGCACTCCCACGCAGTTCCATCCATTCATACAGTCACAACCAGTACAACATGTACTGATACACGTGCAACAGCCCCACCCTACCTGCTCTATGATTTCCATTCCACCATGCTGTATGCCGTGTTGGGGCCCTTCCAGCCTTCAATCCGCACAGTGCCACACAGTCACAGCAGCTATAGCCCATATGTACGGCTCACTACAGCTATAGCCCAGCTCGCTACAGCTATAGCCCAGCTCGCTACAGCTATAGCCCAGCTCGCTACAGCTATAGCCCAGCTCGCTACAGCTATAGCCCATATGTACGGCTCACTACAGCTATAGCCCAGCTCGCTACAGCTATAGCCCATATGTACGGCTCACTACAGCTATAGCCCAGCTCGCTACAGCTATAGCCCATAGATACGGCTCACTACAGCTATAGCCCAGCTCGCTACAGCTATAGCCCATATGTACGGCTCGCTACAGCTATAGCCCAGCTCGCTACAGCTATAGCCCATATGTATGGCTCACTACAGCTATAGCCCAGCTCGCTACAGCTATAGCCCATAGGTACGGCTCACTACAGCTATAGCCCATAGGTACGGCTCAGTACAGCTATAGCCCATAGGTACGGCTCAGTACAAGAGCCACACCTGCTTGATGATCTCAACCATGTGGTATGCCGTGGTGGGTCTCTCTTCCTCCCCTACCATGCCATATGCTTCACATGTGCTTCACATGTGCTTCACTCACATCCATGGCACATGGGTCCCCCCACCCCACCTGCTCAACGATCTCCTTCACCGTGTCGTATGCCGTGCTGGGGTCCTTTCCTACAATCACAACAAGTATAGATGCAACAACCAGACCCCACCCCACCCCACCCCACCCCAACCCCCCTCCCCCCCACCCCACCCCACCCCAACTCATCCCACCCCATCCCACCCCATCCCACCCCACACCACCCCACCCCACCTGCTCGATGATCTCCACCATGTCGTATGCCGTGTTGGGGTCCCGCGGCACAGCAAAGTCCAGCGACGGCGACACACGGTTGCTGTCGCGTGGGTGGAGAATGCAAGAAAGGGGAGAGGGAGTGGGAGAGGGCGTGAGAGAGGGAGAGAGGGCCAGAAGAGGGGATTCCAGGTGTTGGGGTCACAAGAGAGAGCGAGTTGCAGAGGGGGCGGTTGCGGTTGCTGTGGTGTGGACGAAAGGAGGGGCGAGGGAGGCGGGGAAGAGGGAGGAGGAAGGGGGGGTTGGGAGGGGGCGAGAGCGGAAATTGGACAAGGAGCACTGTGTCAGGGTCCCGGGGCATATTAACTTCCAGCGAAGAGAGGGGAGTACGGGAGCGGGACATAAGATTAGAGAGTGAGCACTGCGTCGGGGTGGCGAGGGACAGCAAAGTTCAGCGAGGGGAAGGGCTGCTGTGGTGGGCTTGGGGGAAGAGAGGGGAACGGGAAGGGCAAGGGGGAGGGAGGGGCATGGGGAGGGGGAGCGGGAGGGCGAGGGGGAGAACAGTGTTGGGGTTGCGGAGCAGAGCAGAGTCCAGTGAGGGGAGGACGCGGTTGCTGTGGTGTGAGGGGGGGTAGGGAACAGGAGAGGGAGGCGAGAAGGTAGAAGGGGCGAAGAGAAGCAGGGGAGGAAAAGGGAGGAGAGGCGAAAGAGAGAGGAAGGGGAGGAGAGAGAGGGAGGGGAGGGGAATGATGTGCGTTAATTGAACAGAGAGCACTCCGTTGGGGTTGTGAGGCACATCAAAGTCTAGAGAGGGGGAGCAAGGTCGCTAGAGTAAAAGGTGGAGAGGGAGGGGATGGGTGGGGTGGCGAGGGGATGGGAGTGGGGAGGGAGCAGACATGGGAGGATGGGGAGTGGAAGAGGGAGGGGAAGGGGAAGGCGGAGGTGGAGTTGAAGGGGAAGGGGAAGGGGGAGGGGAGGGGGAGGGCGAGGGGGAGGGGAAAAGCGGGGAATCGGAAGGAGGGAGAAGCGTGCGGGAACACATTGTTGGGGTGACGAGGCACAGCGCAAAGCCATGAGCGGAGGAGATGCCAGTGCTGAGAGCGGATGCAGCACAGGTTGCTCAAAGGAGGGAGAGAAAGGGCGCACGGCGCGGGTGTGCATGAATGGAGCGAGAAACATGAAATAAGGGGGTGAAATGAGAGGAGAAAGGAGTGACGAGTGTAGAGTGGAATGGTGGAGCTGGAGTAGTTTGACTCCAAGAAGGGGGTCAAATGAGATGCATCTCCAAGAAGGGGGTCAAATGCGATGCATCTCCAAGAAGGGGGGCAAATGAGATGCATCTCCAAGAAGGGGGGCAAATGAGATGCATCTCCAAGAAGGGGGTCAAATGCGATGCATCTCCAAGAAGGGGGGCAAATGAGATGCATCTCCAAGAAGGGGGTCAAATGAGATGCATCTCCAAGAAGGGGGGCAAATGAGATGCATCTCCAAGAAGGGGGGCAAATGAGATGCATCTCCAAGAAGGGGGGCAAATGAGATGCATCTCCAAGAAGGGGGTCAAATGAGATGCATCTCCAAGAAGGGGGGCAAATGAGATGCATCTCCAAGAAGGGGGGCAAATGAGATGCATCTCCAAGAAGGGGGTCAAATGAGATGCATCTCCAAGAAGGGGGGCAAATGAGATGCATCTCCAAGAAGGGGGTCACATGAGATGCATCTCCAAGAAGGGGGTCAAATGAGATGCATCTCCAAGAAGGGGGCAAATGAGATGCATCTCCAAGAAGGGGGGCAAATGAGATGCATCTCCAAGAAGGGGGGCAAATGAGATGCATCTCCAAGAAGGGGGTCAAATGAGATGCATCTCCAAGAAGGGGGTCAAATGAGATGCATCTCCAAGAAGGGGGGCAAATGAGATGCATCTCCAAGAAGGGGGGCAAATGAGATGCATCTCCAAGAAGGGGGGCAAATGAGATGCATCTCCAAGAAGGGGGTCACATGAGATGCATCTCCAAGAAGGGGGTCAAATGAGATGCATCTCCAAGAAGGGGGGCAAATGAGATGCATCTCCAAGAAGGGGGTCAAATGAGATGCATCTCCAAGAAGGGGGTCAAATGAGATGCATCTCCAAGAAGGGGTGCAAATGAGATGCATCTCCAAGAAGGGGGGCAAATGAGATGCATCTCCAAGAAGGGGGTCAAATGAGATGCATCTCCAAGAAGGGGGGCAAATGAGATGCATCTCCAAGAAGGGGGTTACATGAGATGCATCTCCAAGAAGGGGGTCAAATGAGATGCATCTCCAAGAAGGGGGCAAATGAGATGCATCTCCAAGAAGGGGGCAAATGAGATGCATCTCCAAGAAGGGGGGCAAATGAGATGCATCTCCAAGAAGGGGGGCAAATGAGATGCATCTCCAAGAAGGGGGGCAAATGAGATGCATCTCCAAGAAGGGGGTCAAATGAGATGCATCTCCAAGAAGGGGGGCAAATGAGATGCATCTCCAAGAAGGGGGTCACATGAGATGCATCTCCAAGAAGGGGGTCAAATGAGATGCATCTCCAAGAAGGGGGGCAAATGAGATGCATCTCCAAGAAGGGGGTCACATGAGATGCATCTCCAAGAAGGGGGTCAAATGAGATGCATCTCCAAGAAGGGGGGCAAATGAGATGCATCTCCAAGAAGGGGGCAAATGAGATGCATCTCCAAGAAGGGGGGCAAATGAGATGCATCTCCAAGAAGGGGGGCAAATGAGATGCATCTCCAAGAAGGGGGTCAAATGAGATGCATCTCCAAGAAGGGGGTCAAATGAGATGCATCTCCAAGAAGGGGGGCAAATGAGATGCGTCTCCAAGAAGGGGGCAAATGAGATGCATCTCCAAGAAGGGGGGCAAATGAGATGCATCTCCAAGAAGGGGGTCAAATGAGATGCATCTCCAAGTGACTCACGGGGAGTCGAAGTTGGGGCGCAGAGGTGGCGCATGCTGATTGGAGAGCGGCAGGAAGTCAAAGAGGTCCCGGATCCTGGTGGTAGAGAGAGGGGAGAGCGAGAGAGGAGAGGAGAGGAGAGGAGAGGAGAGGAGAGGAGAGGAGAGGAATGGAGAGGAGAGGAAAGGAGAAGAGAGGAGATGGTGGGAGGGCAGAGAAGGACAGGTCGAGTGGTGGAGTCTCAACGCACTTGCGTGCGCCATCAGAGCATCGGCGTAACTCACCCACCACACCACACCCCACCCCACCCCACCCCACCCCACCCCACCACAGCCTGCAAGGCCGTCCACCTCATTGTCATACGCGAGGAGCACCACTCCACTCCTGGCTTGGACTCTACGCCCGCCTGCTGCCCCTTGTAGGTCATCGTGATGGAGAGGCGTCGGGGGCGCATGACCATACCCACACCACACCTCCCCCCATCCCACCCACACCACATGACCATACCCACACCACACCTCCCCCCATCCCACCCACACCACATGACCATACCCACACCACACCTCCCCCCATCCCACCCACACCACATGACCATACCCACACCACACCTCCCCCCATCCCACCCACACCACATGACCATACCCACACCACACCTCCCCCCATCCCACCCACACCACATGACCATACCCACACCACACCTCCCCCCATCCCACCCACACCACATGACCATACCCACACCACACCTCCCCCCATCCCACCCACACCACATGACCATACCCACACCACACCTCCCCCCATCCCACCCACACCACATGACCATACCCACACCACACCTCCCCCCATCCCACCCACACCACATGACCATGCCCACAGCACACAGCAGAGCACCTTGCAAGAGCATCGAGTTTGTTGTCATACGCCAGGTGCACCACCCCTGACTTGGACTGCACGTCCGCTCCTCCTAGCTCATCCTGTGGTGTGGGGGAGGGGAGAGTGTGAGGATGCACGCCCGCAACCACAATGCGACTGCTTTTCTACGATTCAAAAACAACACGTCCACAAAAAACGCCCCAAAAAAAATCCCCTAGCTCCTGCTGTGAAAAGAGAGTGTGAGTGATAATGGACAGCACAACCGCAACACGAGTGCACATGCACAAGTGGCACGCATACCCGCGTGACATCCTCGAATGTGACTTGCTTCACCACGTCAGGCCCCGTGACAAACATGTACGCCGTGCCTCGAGTCTGGGGAGGGGAAATGAGGAGGGGGGAATGCAGGAGGGGGGCATGCAGGAGGGGAGAATGCAGGAGGGGGGAATGCAGGAGGGGGGCATGCAGGAGGGGGGAATGCAGGAGGGGGGAATGCAGGAGGGGGGAATGCAGGAGGGGGGAATGCAGGAGGGGGAATGCAGGGGCAGGTCAATTGGATAAGAGACAAGAGAGCAGGGAGCAGCAGAGAGCGTGGTTCAGCATGGCAGGCCCCGTCACACACATGAACGCCGTGCCGTGCCACGGGTGTGCGGAGCATTGGAGGGGAGGGGGGTATGAGCAGTGAGCAGCAACGGGCGTCCTTCTCCTCGTCACGTTTGGCCACGAACGTGTATGCCGTGCCTAGGGCCGAGCGGTGAAGGGGGAGTGGGAAATGAGTGAGTGAGGGAAGCAGGGTGTCGGTCGAATAGGGAGAGCAGGACATGCAGAGAGGTAGAGCAACACATGCACACAAGGGAGGGCATGCAGAGAGGTAGAGCAACACATGCACACAAGGGAGGGCATGCAGAGAGGTAGAGCAACACATGCACACAAGGGAGGGCATGCAGAGAGGTAGAGCAACACATGCACACAAGGGAGGGCATGCAGAGAGGTAGAGCAACACATGCACACAAGGGAGGGCATGCAGAGAGGTAGAGCAACACATGCACACAAGGGAGGGCATGCAGAGAGGTAGAGCAACACATGCACACAAGGGAGGGCATGCAGAGAGGTAGAGCAACACATGCACACAAGGGAGGGCATGCAGAGAGGTAGAGCAACACATGCACACAAGGGAGGGCATGCAGAGAGGTAGAGCAACACATGCACACAAGGGAGGGCATGCAGAGAGGTAGAGCAACACATGCACACAAGGGAGGGCATGCAGAGAGGTAGAGCAACACATGCACACAAGGGAGGGCATGCAGAGAGGTAGAGCAACACATGCACACAAGGGAGGGCATGCAGAGAGGTAGAGCAACACATGCACACAAGGGAGGGCATGCAGAGAGGTAGAGCAACACATGCACACAAGGGAGGGCATGCAGAGAGGTAGAGCAACACATGCACACAAGGGAGGGCATGCAGAGAGGTAGAGCAACACATGCACACAAGGGAGGGCATGCAGAGAGGTAGAGCAACACATGCACACAAGGGAGGGCATGCAGAGAGGTAGAGCAACACATGCACACAAGGGAGGGCATGCAGAGAGGTAGAGCAACACATGCACACAAGGGAGGGCATGCAGAGAGGTAGAGCAACACATGCACACAAGGGAGGGCATGCAGAGAGGTAGAGCAACACATGCACACAAGGGAGGGCATGCAGAGAGGTAGAGCAACACATGCACACAAGGGAGGGCATGCAGAGAGGTAGAGCAACACATGCACACAAGGGAGGGCATGCAGAGAGGTAGAGCAACACATGCACACAAGGGAGGGCATGCAGAGAGGTAGAGCAACACATGCACACAAGGGAGGGCATGCAGAGAGGTAGAGCAACACATGCACACAAGGGAAGGCATGCAGAGAGGTAGAGCAACACATGCACACAAGGGAGGGCATGCAGAGAGGTAGAGCAACACATGCACACAAGGGAGGGCATGCAGAGAGGTAGAGCAACACATGCACACAAGGGAGGGCATGCAGAGAGGTAGAGCAACACATGCACACAAGGGAGGGCATGCAGAGAGGTAGAGCAACACATGCACACAAGGGAGGGCATGCAGAGAGGTAGAGCAACACATGCACACAAGGGAGGGCATGCAGAGAGGTAGAGCAACACATGCACACAAGGGAGGGCATGCAGAGAGGTAGAGCAACACATGCACACAAGGGAGGGCATGCAGAGAGGTAGAGCAACACATGCACACAAGGGAGGGCATGCAGAGAGGTAGAGCAACACATGCACACAAGGGAGGGCATGCAGAGAGGTAGAGCAACACATGCACACAAGGGAGGGCATGCAGAGAGGTAGAGCAACACATGCACACAAGGGAGGGCATGCAGAGAGGTAGAGCGACACATGCACACAAGGGAGGGCATGCAGAGAGGTAGAGCAACACATGCACACAAGGGAGGGCATGCAGAGAGGTAGAGCAACACATGCACACAAGGGAGGGCATGCAGAGAGGTAGAGCAACACATGCACACAAGGGAGGGCATGCAGAAAGGTAGAGCAACACATGCACACAAGGGAGGGCATGCAGAGAGGTAGAGCAACACATGCACACAAGGGAGGGCATGCAGAGAGGTAGAGCAACACATGCACACAAGGGAGGGCATGCAGAGAGGTAGAGCAACACATGCACACAAGGGAGGGCATGCAGAGAGGTAGAGCAACACATGCACACAAGGGAGGGCATGCAGAGAGGTAGAGCAACACATGCACACAAGGGAGGGCATGCAGAGAGGTAGAGCAACACATGCACACAAGGGAGGGCATGCAGAGAGGTAGAGCAACACATGCACACAAGGGAGGGCAGGACATTCAACACATGTCAAATGTAGGGAGTGTGGAGAGGTAGGTCAAATGGCTTTAGGGAGTGTGGGGGTGTGGACAGAAAGTTTGATTGAAATATTGAAGGTCGATTGGCAGGCGGGAGGGGCAACCAAGGGAAGGTGCAATATCAGCTGAATTGAATGGAACGCGTGACAGGCAGAACATTGCACAATACCACTCTTCACCGCATCTCCCCACTTTTCACCGCATCTCACCATGGCCACAAAATCCGTGAGAGCAGGCGAGTAGACAGCACCACCTGCAGGGATGGTTGGGGGACATCCAAGGTTAGGACGAGAGAACACACACACAAGGCGGATGGGTGGACTACATGGAACAGCGAGGTATGGCAAGATATGGCAAGGTATGGCGAGGTACAGTGGGGCAGACAGCACAAGGTACAGAAGAACATCCAATTCCATCTCATCACATCATGCCACATCACGTCACATCACATTACATCACAGCACATGACATGACATGACATGACATGTCATCCCATCCCATCCCCTCCCTCCCCATCCCATCCCATCCCATCCCATCCCATCCCATCCCATCCCATCCCATCCCATCCCATCCCATCCCATCCCATCCCATCCATCCCAGCCCAGCCCAGCCCACATAAGTGGTGTTCTGCCCCCCAGGCCCCCAGCCGTTGGACACCTGCGCAGGGACATATGATGAGGGAGAGCTGCGGAATGACTCCCGATGCCAGCACGTTCAGCTGCGAGAGGATGCAGGGGAGGGAAAACCAGGAGAGGAGAGAGACAGGGGGGAAAGGAGGAGAGTCTATCAGCTTCTCTCAACCCACATCACCTGGCCCTGCACGTTGCTAAAGTAAAGTCTACTGCCTGATCAGCGGGCCACCCATCCACCCTCCATGAGTAAAGGAGACCAAAGATCCCGTCAGATCAGATGCCCTCCATTGCCCGTCAGATCAGATGCCCTCCATTGCCCGTCAGATCAGATGCCCTCCATTGCCCGTCAGATCAGATGCCCTCCATTGCCCGTCAGATCAGATGCCCTCCATTGCCCGTCAGATCAGATGCCCTCCATTGCCCGCATACACAAAGAAAGCGACAGGAGCAACTTTGAGTGGAGTGAAACTGACCTGGAAGACGTTGGCATAGCCGGCCAGCGACACAACGCCCTCCTGGATTCGAGCCCCCCCCGAATCGTTGATGCCTATGACAAGAGACTCGTTGATGCCTATGACCTGAGACTCGTTGATGCATGGCATGGGAAGGCATGTTGTGAGGCAGGACGAGAGGGCGAGGTGAGGGGGTCATGAGTGTGAGAGGGAGGGGATTTGAAACGACAGTAAGCAACTAAGGTGGAGATTGGAGGGGGTTGTGCAAGGAGTACAAAGAACAGGGTTACAGTCTGTCAAAACGAAGTGAATAAAGGATTTCTGTGTAAGAATGGGGATGGAGCAGGGTGGGTCGTGGAAGGAAAGATAGGAATCGGGGAAGACAGGGACGTACAGGTGCTCCCAGAAGCACAAGGAGACGTGGGTCTATTGAGATGGATGGATTGTGGCACACGCACAGCGATGGATTGTGGCACACGCACAGCGATGGAGGAGGGGTGGTGGGGAAGGGCAGGGGTAGGGCAGGGAGGGTAGAGGGACGTACAGGTGCTCCCACAAGCATTGCCTTCTCCATGATCTGAGCGGGGGGAGGGAGAGAGCGGGAAGGAGGAGAGTGGGGAGGGTGGGGAGGGGGGGGGGGGGGAGAGTGGGGAAGGGGAGCGCGGGGAGGGAAAGAGCGATGAAAGGGAGAGAGAGGACGGGGGGTTGACTGAATCGACCTCACAGTTGACTGAATCGACCTCACAGTTGACTGAGTCAACCTCACAGTTGACTGAGTCGACCTCACAGTTGACTGAATCGACCTCACAGTTGACTGAATCGATTTCACAGTTGACTGAATCGACCTCCCAGATGACTGAATTGACCTTCCAGATGACTGAATTGACCTTCCAGATGACTAAATTGACCTTCCAGATGACTAAATTGACCTTCCAGATGACTGAATTGACCTTCCAGATGACTGAATTGACCTTCCAGATGACTGAATTGACCTTCCAGATGACTGAATTGACCTTCCAGATGACTGAATTGACCTTCCAGATGACTGAATTGACCTTCCAGATGACTGAATTGACCTTCCAGATGACTGAATTGACCTTCCAGATGACTGAATTGACCTTCCAGATGACTGAATTGACCTTCCAGATGACTGAATTGACCTTCCAGATGACTGAATTGACCTCCCAGATGACTGAATTGACCTCCCAGATGACTGAATTGACCTCCCAGATGACTGAATTGACCTTCCAGTTGACTGAATGAAGAGATCTTGCACTGATTCACTTCAACCGACTCACCTTCACTATCTTGCTTGCATGGGTCTCCGACAGGCTGCCTCCAAACACGGTGAAGTCCTGGCTGAACACAAACACCAGCCTGCGGTGGGGTGAGGTGTGGGTGTAAATGAGGAGGAGAGTAGGAGAAGCAAGTGCGCGGGGATTAACCAAGTCAGCCCACTCCCCATCCACCCTACCATGCGCACGAAAGAAAGTTGTATGACATTAAGGGAGCAACAGTGGGAGCGGGGGGATCAGGATCAGTGAAGCGAGAACGAGCGGAGCAGGAAAAGGTAGCACATCATCAGCAGATTTCGACTGACTGTTTACTAGTCTTAGATGCCGCGACCCACCACAGCAGGGAGTTTACAATAAGCACCACACCACAGCACCTAGGCTCAAGTTGAGCCCACCACCATAAAGCTAGTCCACAATAGAGCAGAGTCTACAGTAGAGCACACGAGCACTTACCTCCCATTGATGGTGCCGCTGCCAGTCACAACGCCTGGCAGCAGGTGGGTGGGCGGATAAGGGAGGGAGTGGGAGAGAAGGGGAAAAACAGTGGCGAAACGTTGCTCCGCCTTTGCTCTTGGTGCCGCTGCCTCTCACCACACGTGGTGACATGTGGCAGCATGGATGGATGGATGAGAGAGGGGAGAGAAAGGAAACAAAAGAGGGGATGAATGGTGCACTTGCGGCACGTGAGGATTGGAAGAAATACAGGAGGGGCTGAGGGAGGGACGGATGGACAGAGGAAGGGAGGGAGGAAGGGAGGAGGTAGGGGGGGAGGCGGGAGGCAGGGAGGCAGGGAGGCAGGGAGGCAGGCAGGCAGGCAGGCAGCGAGGCAAGGAGGCAGAGAGGCAGAGAGGGAGGCACGTTTCGTCCAACACAACTCCCTGCAATCACCGTTCTGTCTCCCACCACCCATGTGTCATCTTTCCTCGTCAGCTTATCTCTCACCGTCCGCGTTTCAACTCTCACCATCGCCTGCAATCTGTGTTTCATCCATGCCAAAGTCCCGACAGCGATGCTTCACCAACATGTCTGCGGCACAGCACAGCACCCCACAGCACCGCACAGCACCCCACAGCACCGCACAGCACAGCGCACGGGGAATCGAGGGAGGGGGTTGGGAAGCGGGTGCAGCACAGGAAACAGGGAGGGGGAGAGAATGCAGCACAGCAAACAGGGAGGGGGAGAGAGTGAGTGAGGTGGTGAGAGTGAGTGAGAGTTGAATTCACACAGCCAGCACTCAGCATGCAGTCAGCTAGGAGTCTAGATTCTCTGATTGCCCTGCTCGCGTTGCTTCGTCTCCAATGCCACCTACACTGCACGCACTAACCAAACCACCTGCCTTTCCAACCTCACCGCGCTCTTGAAACGACCCAACCCTGCGCTGAACAATGTCATAACTCGCTCCATGCCACGCACCTTGCCCTGCCCCCTGCTGGTAACCTAACCCTGTCAGTACTGCTCGTGCTGCATGTGCTGCTTGCCCTGCCCTTCTTCTGCTGCTCCTGCTGCCACTCCACTCCACTCACCGAGCTCTTTAAACGACCCTGGGTCGAGCAGAGTCATGACTCGTTCTCTGCTCGTCAGCTTGCTCTGCCTGTCAGTAATGCGTGCGCTGCCTCCCCTGCAATGCTCGTGTTGTTCATGCTGCCTCGCCACTCACCGAGCTCTTCAAACGACCCGGGGTCCAGCAGAGTCATGATGCGCTCTCTCGCCGTCAGCTTGCCCTGCTTGTGCTGCTTGCGTATCCGCTCGAACCCCCCACCCTTCAGCGCCTCTGCCTGTAGCCGCTCCAGCTCTATCACTGACGGCTGGAGGGGTGGGGAACAGGGGGGAGGGAACAAGGTACGTAGAGGTACGTTCGGCTCGTGCTGCTTGTGCTGCCTCTTTATCCACTCGAAATTGCCTTTCAGCGCCTATGCCTGTAGCCGCTCCAACTCGATCACTAACGGCTGGGGAGGTGAGGGGTGGGAAGGTAGGGGAAGGGGAAAAAAAGGGAAGAGGGTACGTAGAGGTATGTGGGCTCGACTTGCCCTGCTTGTGCTGCCTCGTCTCCGCTTTATCCGCGCAATACACGTACGGCTGGAAAGGTGGGGGAAAAAGGATTTGGAGGAAGAGCGGTGGAAGGGGGCAGGGGTGGTGAGGAATAAAGGTGAGATTCACGGTTCCCTGCACACGCTGCTCGTGCTGCTTTCGTGCTTCCCTGTCCGCTCGAAGCCGCCACCTCAGCACGCCACTCTATTTGGGGTGGGAAGTTCCTGCTTCCGAATCCCTGACGGAAGGGGTGGGGAGGGTCGGGAAGGGAAGGGAAGGGAAGGGAAGGGAAGCGACGGGAATTGAAGGGACGGGAAGGGGTGGGGAGGGTCGGGAAGGGAAGGGAACGGAAGGGACGACGGGAATTGAAGAGAAGGTAAGGGGTGGGGAGAGTCCGGAAGGGAAGGGAAGCGACGGGAATTGAAGGGAAGGTAAGGGAAGCGACGGAAGGGAAAGGACCACATATTTATTGATACACCTCCTATCCGTTTTAAGGCATGTCACCTGTTTAAAAACGTGTGCAGCGGGAGCAGAAGGCGACGAGTCTATTCCTTCCGTCAGCTGCGGCCCGCATGCCACGCCGCTGGGCGACCCTGCCCCGGCGACTCCTGTTAGCGTCGACGATGACGCAACAGCACCCGCTGCTGCGAACGGCAAGAGCGGCGGCATCCCCGCTATAGGACGCAGCGCTGCTGCTCCGCTACAGGCATGAGGCGCGGCGAAGGGACTCCCTTCGCCGGAGTGGTGTTTATAGCGGAGGGAGTGGAAATGGATGGTGAGAGGCGAGAGGCGAGGGAAACGGGGCGGGACTTAGCGGTTCCGCGACGAACGGAGCGCGTGAGAACACGTGCGAGCACCATGCCGTTTGGCTATTGCCTGTAGTGAAGCTGCGAGTGATTATAACGAGAGAGGCTTACAGCAGGAGGATGTTATGACATCGCAAATCAGAGGTTGCGCTCTTCCTCCCACTCGAAAAACCAGACACATGGGTAAAAACCAGATGCATTGGACTGGTAAGCAGTTCTGATTGGCGAGTGGTTATCTAACCAATCACTCTCGACTTCCTGACTGGGTTGTATCACCCGCTGACGCACCACCCAGCTGGGTGACGCAGCTTTGTGGGGACCACCTGACTCGGCCAGCTTGCTAAATCAAGCCAGGCTGACGCAGCACCAGCTCAGCCCGGTAACTTGTCGGGCATCCTCGCCTGAAGATTCGCCAGCGCTTCTCTGCGCGCGCGAACTTCGAATTAGTTACAACTAGAAATTACGCTTACACACAGTGCCGTAGACTGCATCACTATATATTTTGCTACGAATGAGTCACGACAAACAACAGTGTAAAGCTTTGATACTGTACAGTATATTCATCAACACCACTCCTTAAACATCACACTACAGTAGACTGCAGATCACACAGCTTCAGCAACCCTAAATCTGTAAAACCGACCAACCAAATCAACCTTCCACCACCACTCCCCCATCCCCTCACCCATGGAAAGGCAAAACACAACCTTATACGTAAACCACTCCACAGACGCATCATTTCTATTCAATCATAATTGAAAGCATCTATCTAGCACCACGTTCCCGCCATCACAACCTGAGCCTGCAAGCCGCGCTGCCTGAGCATGTCAGCGAGCGTGTTGAACATGATCTGGCCAATCTTCTTGATCACAGCCGTCACAAAAGTGTTGAGCGACCGCACATCCTTCACCCCGCTCACCCCCAGGCCCAGCGCGGAGCTGTAAAACTGAACGGCCGAGTCGGTGGGCGCGGCCTTGCACTTGATCCAATCAAGCAAGTACGTCTTGACGCAACTGGGGTTCCTGCAGTTGTTGGCCGCCATGAGCCCGTAGCTCTGGAAGGAGGTGGTGGAGCCGGGCGTGCCGGTGCCCCACACGGCCAGCACGCTGCTGCGCACGTCGCTAGACGACTGCACGCTGTTCCAGAGCGCCTGCGAGCTGCAGTCGTCCTTGATCCACCACGCGTACCACCTGCAGTGGGAGAAAGGGGAAAAACGGGAAGGGGGGGACAGGGAGAGGGAAGCGAGGGACAGGAAGCGAGGGGGAGGTGAGTGGGCCGCTTGACGCTGTTCCAGAGTGACTGTGAGCTGCAGTTGTCCTTGATGATCCACCATGCAGGCAAGGGGGTGAGAATCTGCACGCACAACACAACACAGTCAACGCGCTGCTTTCCCAGGATTGCAATTATGCAGTTGCATTGCAATCGACCAGCCAAATGGGCAGCATTTTCAAGTAAATGACTTCAAACATGAATCGAAAGCCTCACCTGCTGGCGTAGCAGGGAGGCGCCACCGTCTCGTAGTCGGCGCACGAGCACGTCTGCGAGAGGATCGCGGACGCCTGAAGCGAGACGACGACGTCGGCGAAGAGGAGCTTCGTAGGAGCCATTGCAGAGAGCAGCACGGGTCGTTCGGCAAACGGAGGAATTAGGGTAACTGGAGATATTATGGCTAGGGACAAGTAGTAGTAAGGCGAATAGCTTGCGATGGTTGGATCTAACTTTGGCTTGGTTCTTATATCCGGAATACTACTCGTGCTACGCCTAGCTGCCATCGGAAAGCGGTCAGATCGGTACATGCGGGACACGATGGTGTTACAATCCTGCCTTAGCTCGCCTAGTAGACTCGGATGACTCATCCTACGCCTCGCTGTGCAGAAGGGTAATACGATGTGGTGTGCTGAAAACGATAGTTGCAGCGTTGTCTTACTAGCGGCGAATTTCACAGCGAGACACTCTGTAAGGCATGAACTACCGATTCTTTGCTGGCGTGAACTAGGAACGCCAGCGAAGAATCGTTGACTGGGCGCGATTCTTCGCTGACGTTTCCCGCTGGGTTGACTTGGCGAGGATGACAACAGAGCAGCGTCTTGTGACTCAGGATTCGGCGAGGAGTGGTTTGTTAGATACTAGTAAGAGACGAATGGAAGTGCGGGAAAGAAGAGGAGAGGTTAGGAAACGAAGAGATGAGAATAGAGAGAGGCGAAGAGAGTGGAAGCTATGAGCAACAGCCTGTCGGCAAAAGGGGGAGGAGACAACACAAGACTCTACATGCTCCGACAGGGCCCAACGGCCAGTTGGTTTGGCTAGTCCCCCCGAGTCGTGCGTCCACGAACGAGGGTCAAACTCTTGAAATTGAAGTTAAAACCCAAGGTCCACAGGTTTCAAAGGTAGGAAGGATGGTTGGACTTAGTGACAAAACCAAAGGTAGGAAGCTTGGTTGGACTTTGTGACCCAACCAAAGGTAGGAAGGATGAGGCAACCTCGGGATACTTGAGACTCCGGTTTTAAGGATGAGGGAGGGTAAATGGCAACTAGAAAGAAAGAAAACACCTAGAAAGAAGAGGTAAGATCAAAGTAAAACAAGTTGATAAGATAAAGGAATACTTGAAGTATGGAATGAATAAGAATGAAGAGAGCTTTGAAGTAGAAGATAGATAGACTTGATAGGGATAAAAGGGAATAACAAGATTGGTTTAAAATAACGTTTTGAAGAAAATTTAAATGGCTTGAAAGTTGCTTGAAAAGAGCTTGTAACCAACTTGAGAATAAATACTTGATTATTATAGAAAAAGCTTGAACGTAAAACAACTTGATAATAGCAAATGGGCTTTGACGTAAAACAAACTTGGTGAAAATGAGAGGAAGAGATAATCACTTACCTAAAAAGATTTCTTTCGATTATGTTGTAGAAGTTGATTTTCACTTCAAGCTCGAACGTTGTCTTAGTTGTTGAATAAAGAACCTCAAAGCTTGAATGTTGAGGAGTTGATCTTGAATGTTGACTTGAAGATATTGTTTGCAAAATGAAGAGAAACCTCCAAGCTTGGATGTTAAGGTTGGAGCTTGGACCTTGGGTAGAAGAATACACCAATCTTGATTGAAGCTCTAAAGTACATTAATCCAACGGAGGTACATGGTAGGATCTTGAAATCAACTATCCTTGATGATCTAGAAATAAAACTATGCGGCATAAACTTCTCTAGAGTTGGAGCATATGGCTATGAGCTTGGGTTGGGAGAGGTTAGTGATGATGATGAAGCCTTAGGAGTTGGAGCATAAGGAGGAGGACTTGAGGTTGGCCTTGAGGGAGCTTGAAGAACTTGTAGAAAGTTTGGGTATGAAGTAGCAAGTAGCCTTGAAGAATATGAGTTCGAAGAAATGAAGAGGGCCCTTTTATATTTGGTGGAGCTTGATGTTGGATGAAGAATGAGAGAAGGACAAATGGTTGTGATTGGTTGAGTTGGATAAGATATGGGTGATGAATGTGGCCTTAAAGTGAAGGCTTGGTGAAGAGAATGGATGTGGCTTTGAAATTAAGGCATGGTGAATGAGATGTACTTGGCTTTGATTTTAAAGCTTGGTGAGTGGAATGAATGTGGCTTGGATTGGAAGGCTTGGTATGGAATCTTCTGTTTGATTGGTGGATAATGGGATGGGAAAGATGATGAGGATAGGAGGAGAGTTGAGGTCGAGGATTCATAGGTTTTGATTGGTGAAAAGAAGATGATGATTTGTTGTCTAAAGATATGAAGGGTGTGGTGGCGAGTGGGCATTTTTGCAAGATGCCTTTTGCAGATTCGGATTTTGGCCGACGAGGAAGTTGTGGCAAAAATTTTCGCCACGTGAAAAAATTTCCTGCCACCCTGGTGTCACGCGAGCAGCAGCCGCAGTTCACTGCAACACCCCCCCGCACTGCTGACCCTCAGAGCGAGATGAAGGAGCGGAAGGGACAGCAGTGGAGAGGGACTCAAGAGACTCGAGCGGCACCAATCCAGCACGTTGGCGTTCCAAGGACGAAGAGGTGCCGTGGAAGTATCACAAATTTGCAGCCTGGTCCGTGGTGCTGCAGTAGAACGGCGTCACAACCTTGCTCTTAATCAGCTCCCGAATATAGTGATACCGAGCATCAATATGCTTGGTCCGTCCATGATAGACCGGGTTCTTGCTCAAGGTGATTGCCACGTGTTGTCAGTATGGAGAACGGTCGGCTCATGCAGGGGAAGACCCAACTCCATCAGCAACCCTCTCAACCACACAGGCTCTCTTGCTCCTTGCGTCACAGCCATGTACTCCGCTTCCGTTGAGGATAGTGCCACACAGCCTTGCTTCTTTGATTGCCAAGAAATCGCTGATCCCGCCATCACAAACATGTAGCCTCCCGTAGATTTGCGCTTTGAAAATGGACTAGCCCAATCCGCATCCGTAAAGCCATGCAAGAAACTACCATGCTCATGGCCATGAAAGAGGAGACCAAATCATTTAGAGCAGGAGAGATAGCGCAAGACACGCTTCGCAACGGTCAAGTGCCGAGTAGATGGTGATGAGAGGAATTGAGAGAGCATGCTCACAGCTTCAGAGAGATCTGGGCGGGTGCAAACGGATGCAAATATGAGGCTACCGACAATACTCTGGTAAAGATTAATGTCGAGAGGGGAAAGGAGAGATGAAGGAGGTGTGGTGGAAGAAGAAGGGGATGAAGAGGATGAAGATGCAAGAGCCTCGTGAAACTCGTCCCAGTAAGAAAGGGGGTCAGGCTGAGAGGGATGGAGGTCAGAAATGGAAAGGGAAGAATGTTGAAAATTAGAAGGGAGAGGTGTAGAGGCAGGATTGAAGGTGAGAAGGCCAAAGCAAGAGAGGACCTTGTGAATGTATCGCTCTTGTGAAAGAAAGAGAGAGCGAGAGGGACGATCACGAATGATGTTCATGCCAAGGTAATAAGATGGCTCACCCATGTCTATTGTGAAAAACTCCTTGGTGAGCATACCTTTGATGTGGGTAAGAAGGGAGAGAGAACCTGAAACCATGAGGATGTCATCCACGTACATGATCAGCCACAGTACCTCATGCACCTTTGTGTGCAGAATGTAGAGTGCAGGGTCGTACTTGTAAACAAGAGTTGTGTGTTGGCCTCGTCCTCGCTTGGGCGGAGCCGACTTCGTGGTCGGGTGTGAGGGGAGCACCCGACCTGCAGCAGTGGGTAAGCTGGTTGACGAGGAGGTCGACCTGCACGGGGACCGCTGTTCGGGTGCCGACTTCAGGGTGGCGCCGACTTCAGAGAGGTCGACCTGGGAAGTCGACCTGCGGAGGACGTCAACTTGGTGACGTCAACTTGGGGCAGCCGACTTGGGTGGTTGGCTAACGGACTACTGGTCGACCTGGTGGTTGGTCGACCAGGCTTGCTAGTCGACCTGATGGTGGTCGACGTGACCTGGTGGTCGACGAAGGAGGGGGAGACGTCGACCTCGACTCAGGACGCCGAGCGGTTGGGCGTCGAGTAGCAAGGCGTCAACTTGGTGACGCCGACTTCGGGTAGCCGACTTTGGAGGTCGGCTGACAACTGCGCTGGTTGACGTGGAGCTGGTCAACCAGGAGTGATATCGACCTGGAGCTGGTCGACCAGGGGCGTGGTCGACCTGGTGAGGTCGACGTGGAGAAGGTCGTCGACTTGGGAGGTCAACGGGCACGTACAGGAGCAGCTGGTCGACGTGGTAGCCAAGTCGACCAAGTTACCTGGGTGACGAAGTTCTGCGGAGGAGTGCGACGGTCGCCCAGGCGAAGTTGGCGAGTCTGACCTCGGAGGTGGTATCCCGAGGTCGACGTGGCTGATCAGATGCAATCGTCAGCGCCAGGTTGACTTGGTATGTGTGTTGTGCAGGTGACAAGGCCTAGCACGCCAATCGTCTGCGAGCACCTACGAAGCTGGTGCGCTGCTGTTCTGCATGAGCAGCGCTGGCACGCTGTCAACCTGCAACGTTGGCACGCCGCCGACTTTGCACTGCTGGAGCGCGGTCGACCAAGTCGTGCTGGAACGCGGTCGACCATGCTGTGCTGGCAGTCGACCAACCTGAATGCTAGCTCTGATGTAGTCTTGCCATGCCAACTTCATTGTACCATTGTTGTCAACTTTCTCTAGTGAAACTCTTGCCAATTTGCCCCGTGAACCAGCAAGCAGTGTGTGCACTAGGAAAACGACTAAGGACCAACGAACGCAGAGATCACACGAGCACCCGTGCTTAGCCCGTAGTCTAGCTCCCATTGTAGTAGTTATCTTCGCATGGTGCGATGAGCGTGGACGGCACTGACTTACCTTTTTGTCAGGTCGACGTAGAGGTCACTTACCTAAGTTGTTCGTTGGCCGGCAACCGTGCAGTCTCTAGCTTGCGCGTAGGTAACGCCAAGGTGTTGGAGACCCTAGAGGCACAACTGGAAGACGTGAGGACACGCCATGGGGTCCATGAGTACGGAACAATCCCCTTGGCGGTTGTGTAGGATCGCATTCGCACCATGTGGGCGACGTTGCACCCTTCCCAACCTGCGTCTCCTCGACCGGTGAACACAGAGGGCGGCGTCGATGTGGGCGTCCACGCCGGTGGTGACCAGGTCGGCA